AAAAAAAAGGATTTTAGCAAAACTGAAGAAAAATGCATTTATATAAATGATTGAAATTCTAAATCTTGAAGCCTAGCTTTAGCACCAGCACTTTGAAAGCCTTTTTCCTGTGTTGTTTATATTCATGCTCGCTTTCTAATACCGTCAAGTGGGCTGCAACAGCTGTAGGAAGCAGGAATTGAATGAGAGAGAATGTCTGCTTTCCAGCAGCAGTGTTCATCTGCTTGAAGGAGGAGGCACATCTGGCTACATCTTCTGGTCTTAGTCAGCCCTCCTGGGCCACTCCAGTAACAAGATGGTTTCGCTGGCTTTCTAGAGGTTCTTGTAGTAGCAGGCTTCTTGGAGCATTGACCTAGGAGGCCAGTCAAGTCTGCTTCATGATCTTTCTGTGCCCAGGAATATGGCAGAGGATCCTCTCTGCGGGATGTGTGTATCCCACACAGGGCCTCATGGCCAGTAGCCACAGCCATGTACCTGTTGGAAGCGGAGTCTGCAGAGAAACAGTAGATTAGAAGAATTTACATGGCAAAGTGGTGCTTGTAGATGTGGGTGGATACAACTTGACGTGAATTTGGGAGATGGGGCTTTTGTGTACTGCAGTCTGAGTTGAGCCTTGCCTAGCTCCAGGACTGGGAAATGTGCAGAGATCCCTCAGGAAAAAAGGTGGTCAGAAATTCCCTGTCTCGTCCATAATGATTGTGATCCCTTAAAAATCACCCATATTACATTAATTGGGAAATATGGTTAAAATGAACTTTATTTTAATCTCAGACTGATATTGAGTGATAATAATAAATAAACAATCAGAAATAAATGGAGTTGCATTGAGAGTATTACAGTGGATGTCTGCCCCCAAGAAGCTGTACTCAACTCTTTCTGAAGGTCACTTATCCAAGCAGGTTTCTCATTCCTTTACAGCTTCTAGAGAAACTGCTAAAAGACATGTTGGTTTGAGCTTTGGTATCAAACTAGAAAGTAGGCTTTTGGCCATCAGTAAAAAGGAGAACAACACAACGTATATTAAGTGCAAACCAAAAAATGAGATGGTGATATCAGTATACTGGAGAAATACAGTGTAGTTCTGTCTTGCAAAAGAAATGCTGCTGAACTTCATTCTTCTTCCTTTTGTGACCTGATGGCTTAAATGGATTAAGAGTTAAGGCAGTAAACATCTTATGTAGTTTGAATATTTCTCCAAGAAGCTTTCCAGGCGTACTTTCTGTAGAGCAATCACGGTAGCAATCTCTTCTCTGATTGCTGGGAACAAAGCCATAGGCTATCAATTAAAGATGATTTCACTGGCCAATTTCCTAACACACACAGTAGCAACACCAAGCTGTATACCCTCCTCAAGCTTTCTAGTAAAGATGTCTTCAACTTAGTGCAGTTGATAAGTAATACAAACACAAACACAAATTTGGCTTTGAGCTTCCCATGTGTTGCTCAGGCACGGCATGCACTTTGCATATGCATTTGAAAGTTAAATTTGTCTGGGCCATCACAGAAATGAACATGCACACTTCCTGGGCAAGGAAGAAGACCACAGCAGGAGAGAGATGTTGCTGCTGAGCCTCTGCCTTCCTCAGTAATACTCAGTTAGCAGGAGCTGCTGGTAGAGCATCTGTTGAGCTTGCTCGCTTTCTGCTGTGCAGCCCAGGCACGAGGCCCTGGCTGCCATGGGGACAGCTATTTATGAGCTATCAGGCAAAATCAAGTTTCAGGTAAAGAAATCCCAAACATCAGGTAGGGACCATGAACATAAATGAATGTGTTGATGTCTTACAGCTCACCCTTGTGAAGATGAGATATGAATAGTTTTGATTTCATGTAATTTTTTTTTTTTTTTTTTTTCTACGAGTCCAGAAGCAATACAAGAATAAATAATGCGTTACATTATGACTCAGTATTTGATAATGCAACTTTAAAAATATGTAATTTGTATGTTTAATAAACACACACTTTGCATTTACAAATTATACAGGATAATTACACATGTTCAATATGCATTGGGACATCACTTTCATAGATAACTTAAGCATACAGGACAGCCCAAGCATTAGGAAAATAAACCTGCTACCTTCTCTAAATGTCACTGGCTTTTATCAGCTGCACCCAGTTAAAGGCCCCAGATCTTTGAATTTAGAGGACAACATTTGTTTCAGACCACATCAGGAAAGAATACCTGGCTCTGAATGCTTTCCAAGCAGAAATAATACGGCAATCCCCTGTCTGATGATTGAAACAGTCTTTTCAGAGTAGTAGCTATTTCTTAAACTCAGTGTAATTTGGCAAGTGCTCAAGTGAAAGATTACCAAAACCAGAGATTATTCTTTTTAATTTGATGCTACCTGGACCTTTGTGAAACACTGTATGCCATTAATGGAGTAAAATAACGCTTTTAGAGCTAAAATATATAGAAAAAGAAGGCTGTAAATATTACCATCCTAGAAACAAACATATTTTTTTCTTGTCTTGCTCATTAAACTTATGGTCAGTATATTCAAATCTAGTTGATGATCGAAAGAGTTTCAGAGATGAAGCTTTTACATCCTTTGCAATTATGCCTATAAGAGCCAGGAGAAAATTATGGGCTTGTCTTACAAATAATATTATGGACTCACAAATTAAAATGAATATAAATGACAAACAAAATAGCATTGAGAGATAATGTTTCCTAACTTAATTAGTAATCCTGGTTTTGACCACTGTTTAGGTAAGAGATTTTTTCCTAATACTATTTGTGAAAATGGGTTTTTAGAATAGGTGCATGTAGGTATATACACTTGCATGAAGCCTAGTTTCCTACAGATTTTTGCTCCATGCCCTGTGAGGGAATAGCCAAGAGGAGCCGTGTAGGAGCTGGTTGTCCAGACCCTCAGATACTTGCCTGGTTGCTGAGCTTGGCCTACTTTGCCCTGAGCCTGGACATTAGCTTGGGTCTCCCTTCTTTAGCCAAGAGATGATTTTCATGAATTCATATGAACTTCATCATCTTTTAGACTGCATTTGGTTGAAATCAGTCAGCTCTTTCGGAGTCAGTGGGAAAGGGTAGGAAGGTAGTCAAGCAATGCAATTTCATAAGCATTTTTTCTTTAGAAACTAAGCCAAGAAAGTATTCACAGATAACTAAGCTTGCAAAGAACTTAGAAATTAAGAAAAATAAGAAATGCAGCTACTGCTTCCGTGTGACCCCCCCTTCACGTCTTCATTGCCATGCAGCGAAGCGATGCCTGCTGTGTTTGTCAGCCACCTGAAACATCCTCTATTTTTTTTTCCTTTGTAGTCTTCTACCTGTTCTGCTTCATGTTTTCCAAATTCTGCATAACATACAGTAATGGCTTTAGAGACTTAGAGCCTTTTCTTAGCATTTGGGTTAACATTGCAACAAGGTCCTTCTTGCTCCATAATTAGCTGGAAGATATTTGCTGATATCCCAAGAAAGGTGTGATGAGACATGGTATAGCGATAGTCTGGTTTAAGTCTGCCAGATCAGAAATACTGTGGTTATCTGATCCAGAGTGCTGATCCAGTAAGGACCGAGTCTGCTGACTCACTGGTGCTCAAGAAGCTTTGACAGGCTTTGTATTAGCAAGCTTTATGCCAGATAAAATACATTTAATCTTGTGTTAGTGTGGATATAGCACAAATTCTGTATCAGGCACAGGACTGTGATTGCATGTTTATGTGTATATATATATATATATATGTATATATATATATATATATATAAATTTTGAATGATCTGTCCATGCAGGGACCTTATATTAGACGCCCAGTCCATAGCCAATGGCTCAATGTTGTAGGAACCACTCTGCTGTCTTGCCCCATAACACTGCTGCTGAATACTGATTGTAAATGGGAACCTAAAATAACTTATTCTTCAGGAGTTGTAATGGGAATCTAACAAATCATACGGAAAACTGAGATTTTTGAAAGGCTGATAAGGGAACACCAAAAAAAAGCCCACCCAGAATTCACCTTATGCTATACATCAGAATGGTGCAAAGCTTTGTAACAAAAATATATTTGTAAGAGTAGTTTATTTTAGGAAAATCAAAGCATTTCCTCCAAAAGTCATTCTTGGAAATGGCTGAATTGTTTTAGCTAAAATGTTCTAAAACAAACAGCATGATGTTCCCCAGCATGGAAACTTTAAGTACAAGTGGTTTCTCTTTGGCAAAATTATAAACAATTTCAGACAGAATCTAAAAATAGAGAGTGACATTCAGTGCTAGACAAAGGTGGTATAATGAGCTCTGCCCAGCTTACATCGAAAAACAAATGCAGCAAGGCTTCAGGACCAAATGCATGTTGGTTTTGTAAATATTATTTAAGTGATTTTTGTTTGTGATAGCGAGGCAGTATGAATGGGCTGGTTTCTTGCTGGAGATGGGGCCATCTGCCTCTGTGATGAATTTGCATTGCTGGTAGCCATCCATGTTGACTCTGGTAGCCAGCAAGTGACATTTTTGAATTGTTCCTGAGGGCAACTTTGTGATTTAGCAGGTTAACTGCAACTTCATATACACTCCTCATTCAGTTTTCAATACGCCTGTGCATATTCTTGAAAGAACCTCAGATTTAAAATACACATACGCACGTAATGGTCGTTGTACTTAAATAAAAACTTTTATCTGAAATGTTGTGTCTTTCCTGAAAGCACTTCCTCTTGTGCTTATATTATAATTGCTAATAACTAGTACCAAACTTCTTGCAAAACTGTACTACCAAGCAGCCCTGAGATAACTAGAGACCTGCGTCTCTGCGACTGTGTCAGGGTGACACAGAGGCTGTGACAGGGTGGCGCTGGGCTGTCACCTTTGCTTCGGTGAATTCACATCTCCAATTTGTAACTATTTTTACCCATGTGCACAGAGATGGAGGTTCAGCCGAGAGGTAGCTCATCAGGATGTGCCTCTCTTCCAGCTTCTGCCTGCAGCAACTTCGTTTCTAAACGCTTCTTCTATTTTTTTTCCTTTTTGTCCACGTGCGTGTCCCAGACTGCAGGTACACATGCCACGCTCACTGCCGAGACCTGGTGCACCTGGGCTGCTGGCGGAATGGGAAATTAATGGCCTGCCTCACTGCACATGGCACCTTAGACGGATCTGACAACGGTCAGGTAATAGATCTCGTGTTTGTGTAATTACTGCCGTCTCCTGCCCGTTCTGTAATGAAGTGTGGTCTGCCTGCTTCGCCCAGCTGCTTGGCAATGACGTCTCACTTAGGCACGGCTGGCAACGCTGAATTTCCCACCCAAGGCTGTGATTTTGCAGAGTGGCTGTTGCCAGGTGGGTCGCTGCTGCTCCAATTAGTCTGCAGCTGAACTAGCTGAGAAGGCATCCCACAAAAAGGTCTTTTTCCTGTTAGTTTGGCTGCCTGAGGTGGGTGACTGGCACAGAGCTGCTGAACGTAGTGCCATGGGGCGAGGAGTGAAGCCAGGATCTTGGCCACTTGTGACCATTAAAGAAGCTTCTGGGTCTGTCTGGGTTTGGTGTCCCCCAGCTCTCATCAGACCCCTCTCTGGGTAACTTCAAGTTTCCTTGCCTGGATTGCCCAGCAGCTTCAACTGGTCGTGATGTACCTCCTCATCTCCTGCTTTACACCACCACAGAGTTTCAATCCTTGCATTTCACCCTCAATATCAGGGCCTTTCTCCCTGCCCTTCCTTGCTGAGGGGACATCAAAGCAGCACCCAAAGAGAGGTGGGAGTCCTCCAAGAAGGAGGTTCACACACTGATAATGAACCCTGTAGATCTTCAGTGCTCTGATAAAGGTTGCGTTGTGCTAATTAGCTCTTGCCTTTTTGCATTTTCAAATCCATTTACCTTCTGTCATCCACTGAGGTCCATCCACACTTAACCTCTGGACATTCACATCTCACCAGCAGAAACTTCTGAGAGGGCACCAACATTTCTCCATGTCCTTGCTAAGCTTTCTGAGAGTGCTGCAGGACAGCGCAGAATTTTCTCTGCAAGAGCAGCACGTTTGTTAAACAAATTTTAAAAATGTAAAACAAATTGTTAAAGGTGCTTGCTCCAGCTGCCCAAACCGCAGCTGCGGACACAATGCGTCCCGTGTGCTCCTCATGACTTGCTTTTGGGAAGAGTGAAGGGGCATAAATCAGGTGCTGAGAGGAGTAGCAGGGGTGAGGAAAGGGAAAGGCATGGCAGCATGAGTTTTGGAACTGTGGGTGAATGTCAGCATGAAATACCACGGGAACAGAAAGGGAAGACTGTGAAAAGCCATTTGTACTCAAAAAGACATGGATAGCTTGTCCATGCAAGAGAGCCAAGAAAGAGCTAGTGTTGTCTTGGGCAGAGCAGCTATGAATAACGAGCAAGGAAACTGTGTCTTGTGGTTTGACCCTTGCAGCACGCAGGGAAGCAGTCCTGTGTGCATTGTATGCAACAAGCTGGCATCAAAGTACTGCTTTTTTTTTTTTTTTTTTTTTTTTTCTTTTTTTCTTCTTTTTTTTTTTTTCTATTGATTCCTTTTCAGTTTTTCATTTCTATTGAAATTTTGTATCTCCCTCCCCATTTTATACATGCAACTGTGGTGTTCACTATAAGACAAGGCATTGGATGATAGGAAAAAAGCCAAATTTATTCAGTTTGGAAAATTACTCTTGCATTCTTATTCTGTGAATAGAGTTCAGTCTGTAGAGTTTTAGTCAGACTCAGCGTACTTTGGAAGCAAATCTTCCAGTTGTCCTCACTTCCCTTGTTTTGGTTCATATCAGCAGGCAGCCTCAGAGCACACAAACTTGGTGCCCTTTCAGATGATGCTAAGCTGTTTCCTGGAGCCCCGCGAAGAGGCACTCTGGGAGCATATCTACCGTGCTCCAACCACTGATGGGCAGTCAGCCCACAGCACCAAAACAGAGGCTGTCTAAAGCAAAACCTCTGAAGTATTTATACAGAGGACTTTGGGCTCTCATCACCGATTGCTTTGCTTTGTAGAGCTGCTCCTGTTGCACCACAGGATTTGCTAATGTAGGCGTAAGCTATTTGGCACAGAGCAGTCCCCAGCGAGCAGCAGCCTGATAAGTGTTCCAGCGAAGCCTGCTTTTGCTTTATCTGCATCATGACTTTGAAAACCACATGGTATGCAAAACCAGTTAATTTTGAACCAAGCTATGCTAGTAAAATGCAGAGCTGCAAAGACCATGCATGCATCTGAGGATATCCCAGCCATGCAGTGGGTGTCAGCTGAAAATGTGAAGGGATTATAGAGAACTGCTGGGACTCTATAGTATTTATGGAGAGGAATGCCTTGCTAACAACCTGTGCAGTCCTGCCAGGCATGGAGTACTTTGGTGCACCCACAAGTGGTCAGATAGGTTCACGATCTGGAACACAGACACACTGCTTGGCTTTGCTAATAAGCCATTAGAGCTCAAAAGCCTGAAGAAGCCTGAAGTTTGAGGTTCTTCCTGTATATATGCATACATTTATGTACACGTATATTTCATTGTTAAAAAGTTTAGGATGTTCAATTGTATAGCTATTTAGAGAGATCAGTAAGGCTGTGGGGTTAAATACTTGTAAGTGAAGCTCCCAATTCCACACATGCTGCAAGGACCTGATGACAGAAATGATGGCTCAGGTGAAAAGGGGACATTGTTTTGCTAATTCTCTGGCCTTTAATGTTTCCCTCCTGAAGAGGCTTCCTATAGAGATTAAAGAGGAAACAAAGGATGGAAGCTCTCTGTGATCTTGCAAGGGCATTCTCAGGAAAAGCAGCGGGCAGAGCTGCCGGTGTCCTCCAGAAGCGAGCAGGGGGATGAGCAGAGCCCCCTTCCAGCTCGCCTCTCCTCCGCTGCCTTGTCACAACAGCAGCACCTTCTGCCTGGCACTGCCAAGGGCTTCTGAAAGTCTCAGAAGTATGAAGCTGTTACGTGGACTTTCATTGTTTTCCCTGTTTTTCCACTCTGGATAGATAAAAAATAAAAATAAAAAAATATTACGTGTGAGGCACAGATACAATTTCTTTTCTCCTTCAGGAAGGCCTGCCTTCCCACAGAGGCTCCACTGCACTCAAATTTCCCCAAAGACAGAGGGTGGTCATGTTTGATGTTTGTCCAAGACTGTAGGGACTTTGTAAGGTATAGAAAAAGATAGAGGATATCCCAAATGACTTGGATAATAACATCCCCAGGATCACTTCAAATTGCATGAACCCTCTGTGAGAACAGGGATAGTGCAAGAATGGAAATTTCTGGGTGTGGGTCAGTGCTGAGGTTACCACTAATGCAACTTCCACCTCAGAGGTGAGGCAGTTTGACATCTATTTTCAAAAATATCCTCTTTGGGAAGAAAATGGACAATACAGCACAAAATATCACCATGGATATGTGCAGCTCTTGATTAATAACAAAAGCTACCATAGAGCTACTGATTTCTCTCCCATACTCACTGCTGGTAGTGGCTTGTGCACTGTAGAGTGTGCACGTTTTTTATGGCTTATATATTTCAGATCTCTATTAAACCTGATTATGCTTGGTAGAAGTTGAAAGGAAAGAAGGAAAACTGGATGACGTTCGTTTTGGCAGGCTGAGCATAGTTTCATTTTTGCCAGTGACTTGGAGTGATTTCAAGCCTGGAGCTGATTTCAGTTCCAATTGTGTGTATTGCTCAGGCTGCCGTTAGAGAAATCCATTTCACATAATTAAAAGCCTTGATAAATTATATAGGCTAGAAATTAGTCCCAAATTAAAAAATAAATAAATAAAAAATTAAGATGTATCCACAGAAATTCTATTAGTGCCATCTGCAGCCTTCCTTCACAGGAGTGTTACTAATCTGGCTTTGCACAGTGCTGACTTAACTTCAAATTATAACATATATATTTATAGGTATACAGAAAACATAAATTGCAACTTTTTAAGAAGTCTAATTTACTATATGATATACTTGAATTTCTTTATTACTCTCTGGAAAAAAAAAAAAAAAGTGGCAGAAAGCACGTTATTGCATATAGATAAGTAATTCTGACCATCTCTTTCCATCCTGTGGATCAGAAGTTTTCCATCCCTTGCCAGAAAGGGGATCTTTTGCTGGAATTCTTTTTTTTTTCTTTCTTTCTTTCTTTTTGGAAATATCTTCCTTTCCCATATGGAATTTTTATTTTGTCAGAATTTGAGACTTTTTTTATATAGTTGTCTGTGATTTCCAGACGCCTGGCAGCTCAGACAGTTCTGCTTTACCTAGCTCTCCAGGCATCCAGAAATCTTGGACATCCTATGCACAATCTTTACAAACTCACTTGGATTTGCTTCAAGTCCAGTCAGTAAAGACTGCATGAGGCACGTGATGAGTGGACCTGCATCATCATACCACCCAATGGAATATTACAGGAACTCATACGTTTAACAGGACACACTTCAGCCTGCTGGCACCTGATGGGAATTTACAGCCCACAGAAGCAATCACAGTTGTGTTGTTACACCACTATGGTTTTAAAAACGTATTAAAAAAAAAAAAAAACAACACATATATTTATCAGTAAATCTATCCTTAAATTTTTTTTTCAGAAGTATTTGATTTCCATTTAAAGTCCTCAGAAAATAATGTACAGGCCTAACCTTTCAGACAGAAAGGTAGTGAGTTCTCTGCTTAAAGGATGCATTGCTAAAATCCAGAGAAGATCAATTATTGGTTGTTTAGCAACCAGATCAACTCCAGTCAAACAGCTCTGACTTTCTAGCTACATAAAAGAAGAAGACAAGGCTTCAAATTACAGGAAAAATCTGATATTAGACCAGGGGAACATGGCAAACACACTTTGGATTTCTGCATGGTTGTGTGTTGTCATATTTAAGACATTTGTACAGTCTCCCTAGAAAACGATCCACAGTGCTTTCCCCATAATGTGTCCACCTTCAGCGTGCAATTTTGTCAGCTGTCATTATAAGATCAATGTAATTCTTCTAACATTTATTTCTATACAAACCATCCTTACCACAAATATTTTTCCACAGTCCTTTCCAATTTGCACTATCGTGGCATATATATCTGATGTAAAATACTAATTACATGTTTTTATTGCAGCAGTCTTCTTCCTAATTCAAGGATATTAATATCGTCATGGTACCTTAGCAGGCTTAGCAGAGCACAGATG